CCCCAAAACCCCAAAACCCCAAAACCCCAAAACCCCTCAATATGAGCCATTGATTGAAAAATAATATAGAGAAGGTATTATAAAATTATTAATTTATCTTAATATTTACAAATTATAAAAATATTCCTAAAAGCAGACAAACACCCAAATATGATTAAACCAGTCACAGGTAAGCTGAAATGGGCAATAAACCACTCCTTGGTTGGCGCAGCGGCAGCCAGCAGCAATTGGAAGTCTTAGCATACGAAGGACTTCCAGAAATGATAAATCATCAGCATAGCTTTCTTTACTTTCCCACTTTCAAATTCGTATTAGGCAGCATGGCTAACTTTTTGAAATTTAGTATTGTACACAGAGACAAAAGATGTTTATCCCAGAATAAACCAGGCTAGAAGAGACTCTTCTCAAAAAGTCTTCGGTATCTCCAAAGCTTGGAGGGCAAAAAGAGTCATAAATCAGACCCCAGAAGAGCGAGTGTTGGAGAATACTAATCAAAAAGTCTTCCAAATTACAAGAAATTGCTCAAAATTTACTCCCGAAAGATCACTCTCTCTCAACTCTCTCTGCGGGGCCTTGAACGAACAGACACAGAATGAGCAAGAAAGACCAATTCTATCCTCTTCGAAAGTATTTGCAGTCACAAAATTGACGAAATTGGAACGCAAAGTTGCCTTGTCTTCACCGAAATTCAGTAGAAATCAAAATATGGTCAAAAATTGTCAAGAAAATTCTCGCTTCGCATTCCGAAGCACTAGATCAAATACTATGGATGAATGCGAGGAAGAGTCTAGACTTCTGAATGCTTCTAAACAGTTTGAAAAAGTTTTCCAGATTACTAAAGAAAAGGCTCGAGTGGTAGCTTCAGCCCAGACTGACCTTAGCTTATCCCCTAAGGCACCTAGCTACAAGAGGTATTTCACTGTCAGAAAGGTTCCTCGCAGTCTATGTAGGAGAAAAACTACGTTTGGAGGCATCTCAAGCGCGTTCACAACATTTTCCAGAGATCCTCAACAATATCAGGAGACTGAGGGGCACAATTTTTATACTTTCTTAGCCTCTGAGCTGTCTAAGTATGGAAGAGAACTACAGCTGGAAAGCTGTAATTCTCCAGAAGTCTTATTAAATATGGACCAAAAAGTCTATCTCAGCCTTTCACTTGGCCTTAAGTTGCTTGACCAGCTTCCTGATTCTTCTACAGCAGGTTCTCTATGTCAGAAGCAGACTATTAAGAGACCTTTGGCTAAGTACAAGTAATAATATAATCTATTGCTAAATAAAAGGGCTCGCCCTTTTATTTCTAATAAGTTTCTTATATATAATATTTTCAAGTTCTCATCATCAGGCGGGGTTTTGGGGTTTTGGGGTTTTGGGGTTTTGGGGTTTTGGGGTTTTGGGGTTTTGGGG